GAAAAAGGGTCCAATTACTTTCACTCATAACTCTTGAACAAAATAATCAGTGATGTTTATATTCTGTAATAAGATAGACCATGAATTGATGAACATTTCTTTTTGTGTACGTGAACTCACTTGACCCTTTTTTCCGGGTCAACCGGAAGGTTAAAGTTTATAGGTGAATTCAAAATGAGGACTTTAGCCTGAAATAAAAACAAAGCAAAATTTCTTCCATACGGTTTACGGTATGATCACAAAACCTAGTGTGGACATGTACCATGTTACGAAGATACTATATATTTTGTTACATTATCCTGACGTCGTCATGTATCAAATTACAAATGATTTAAGGGCAAATTTTGACGACATAGTTTGCGCTATATCTTTTGAACTAAATATAGTATAGTGTTTGTTTTTTCGTTAGGTTGTAGACTATGCTGTGAGAAACATTTCTTGTCCCCGGACACAAATCCGCTTGACCTTCACTTCCGGTGTTACCGGAAGTGCAATAAAAACCGAGTATAACTCAAAAGCGAAAGCATTTTACTACACACATATACATTATGAAAGTGCTAATTGAGGAATGCCAGACACAAAAAACAGTGTGTTGATGTCATCTTTTATAAGAGCGCCCCCTAGCAGCATATTAAATAGTGTTTTGCTTTCTTTAATTTGAAAACCATCTGTTAAAATTTTACCAAATCACCCCTCAATATTCTTTGATTAACCACAGATAATTTGGCAAGGATTCAAATTCATGACGTCATCAGATCGGGAGTTACTTCTATGAGCATTTGAAAACGATACTATTTTAAATGTAATTCTATCATTTGATTCATGTCGTATATATTTTCGTAGCCCAAATAACGATATGCCTAACAATGTTCACCTTTTGCTTCCAAATACTGTGACGTCATCAAACCGGAAGTTAGGTGTTATGAATACCTTCAGTTATATTTTCCTTATTTTCATACGTTATTTAACTTCACAACGAACATTTATCCACCCCAAACTTAATCAGTATTCACTTCCCGTTTTTGAATAATGGCATCATGAAGCCAGAAATAACTTGTATGTGTAAGCCTACATAGAATGTTGACTAAAATTTATCACACCGTTAAAGATACATTTTTTTAAACCAAATAATTGATTGTACTAGAAAGAATTTAATTTTGTGATCCTTTGTTCTTACATAAATTTATTCATAACTCAACTCGGTAGTGTTTATGAACAAATTGCCTATCCGACCACTCTGCGTTTGTAACAACAAACGCGAACCTCTAGTTCTTTCTTTCTTTCTTTCTTTTTTTTCCAGACAATACTTCTCCGTGGGTTTACTCCTAAACCGTTCAAGATATGAACTTGTAACTTCGAACACATATCGACCCTGATCCCGAGAAGTGCATATTGTCCTGACGTCATGATGACGTCATCAGGTATCAAATTACAAGCAATTTAGTGTTTCTATTTTTTAATCATTACAAATCGATATAAAATCAACCTTGAGAGACCGGAACTTGTTTTTAATGGGAGTCAATATAATAATACTGGGTCTTCAATTTACTTCATGGGTGTCAAATCATACGACCCTTACTTCCGGTCGAAACCGGTCGAACCCGGAAGTGCTTTGTAATTTAAAAATGGTAAAAGATATGAACGTGCTTTCAACGATGTTAGTCTTCGGCAAGCAAGTGCTTTTCGAAACTGTAACCGATGACGTCATGAAATATTAGAGCGCCCTCTAGCGGCATGTTGAAAAATGTCCAAAAGGCATTTTGAATAGATGTCTGTGGCGAAGTTTGCTGTAATCTTTTGAAAATTGGTATATATGATGACCTTCATGCAAACAACACATGTGTAAAGTTTGAAGCCGATGACGTCATCAGACTGGAAGTTACAACGAAAAGACTTTTTATTCTACAAAAATCGCTAAAAAATCAATCGTGAGAGATATAATCTTAAATTGTCCATTAAATGATAGATTAAACATTGGCGTCAATTGTGCCAGGCGCGTGGCTTGTCAAATTGTTCACACACGTGACCCGCCGCTGACAAAAATACCCTAACGGTAGTCCGTCGCTCAAAAATTCAATGAAAGCGTAGAGCTGGGTGTGCGTGAGTACACTGCATGTACAGGACATTGTACATGTACATGCATTCAGTGCAGACCCATCATTTCTTCATCGTCATGCTTGTTGGAATGGGGCCAAACACGTGGCGCGTAGTCTTGTGCTCAAGACGCTTGGTCCTCTATAACAAATCCCATAGACTTTGTGCACGATTTTTCTCGTCAGCATTTTAGTCATAAAGCACACTCATTATGACATTGAAACTTAACATAGTCAAAGAACATATAGCAAAGGTCGTTGGCGAAGATGGACGCAATGATGACGTCATCATGTGATTTATTATGAAATTTGAATATTTATTTAAGCCCATTGACTTTTTCCACAGTTTTTCCACTTTGTGCCCTTCTTTTTCAAGGGACCTTTTTGGCCACTTTTCAATGGGGCATCTTCAGCAAAGTAACACCAAGCAAAGATGGAATGCTAAGATTGTGCCAGAACAATGATGGCATGATGACGTCATCAGGTGTCACGTGACAAGCAATTAAACTTTGATATTTTTTTATCTTTAAAAATCTATATAAAATCAATAATGACATCTGTCGTCTTGCTGTTTGCGGCAAGTGAATTAAGGTCGTTATTTTTTAACGTGTACGTAAAATCACATGACCCTTGCTTCTGTTCGAAACCAGAAGTGGCTTATTATTGGCTTATTATTTAAAATTGGAAATAGATATGAACTTGCTTTCAACGGTGTTAGTCTCTGGCCAGACAATATTCTTCAAAACTTGTACCAGTGACGTCATGAAATTCTCGACCGCCCTCTAGCGGCAGGTTTAAGAATGTCCAAAATGCATTTTGAATAGATGTCTGTGGCGAAGTGTTTTGTAATCGCCTGAAAACTGGTATATATAATGACCTTCATGCAAACAACACTTGTGTGAAGTTTGAAGTTGATGACGTCATCAGACCAGAAGTTACAACGAAAAGACCTTCTATTCTTCAAAAATAAATCAATCCTGAGAGATATAATCGTGAAGTGTCCATTGAATGACAGCTTAAACATTGGCGTCAATTGTGCCAGGTTCGTGGTTTGTCTAATTGTTCACACAAGTGACCCGCCGACGACAAAAATACCCTTATAGTAGTCCGTCGCTCAAAAATTCAATGAAAGCATAGTGCGTCGCCGTTCGGCCACAGCATAGGGCGCGCAAGCCCGCTGAACGTAGCCTGGCTTTTCGTTTGCTTTTCACAGGCGTACATGTACAAGTACATGGTCAGTTATTAGTACGTAGACTCTGAGAAAGTCTAAGGAGAAGTACTGTTGTCACGCGTGTACGACTAAAATAGATCGCTGCGCGCGTCTTCGCATGCGCAGTTAATGTGTCATAACCGGGGTTAAGCTTGTACACTGCACGCACACTGTGAATCGGAAAGTAGAATGTGTGCACTTACGCTATTCGTGGCGTGGCCCGGAAAGGCATCCTCGTATGAACTCTGAGCAGCGATTTTGCGAATATAAATGTTTGTTTCTGTTTATAAATTTACCTTCGGACAGTAAGTATTATTTCGTTTTTTTTTCCAGGCATATGGTATTGGGAGTTCATGCTGAAAACAGCTTACCATTTAAAATGGCTCCAGTTATGATCGGACACATGAATACATGCAAATCAATGAACATGCATCCTCTCCGAATAACATCAGTATTCACTACCCATATTCACTTTTTCAACGTTTAAAAAAATAAATACATACTGACATTGATCACTACCTAAGGCCCAAAAAAAAGGCTCCGGTTTCTGGTATGGAGCTTGCCCAAAAAGTGGTGTGGCGATGCGGCTTTTTTTTTTTTTTACCTGATTTTTTTGCTTCAAATGTCGGCTGATGACTGCAAATAGTGCCCGGCTAAACTTAGTGCAAATATATGGGAGTCCAGAGAGGCCACATAAAGCTTTTTCTCGACCATAACCCAATCTAAAAACCGCTTTAAAATTGTGCAGAAGCACAATTCCAGTCAAACCAGTGAGTTTGGCAGTTTTGAGACTTCATCTTTCATTGAAAAAAAAACACTTTTCCATTTTGCCGACGCGCATGGCTACGGCGACGTGCGCGCATACCAGAAACCGGAGACTTTTTGGGGGGGCCTAAAAGAAACATTTTTAAACAAAATGATTAATTTTATGAGACAGTTTAAATTATTGTTATCCTTTGTACATGTTGTTACATAAAAAAAACTTAACTGGACAGTGTTTCATAAAATAGTTGTCTACCCGACCACTCTGCGTTTGTAACAACAAACGCGAAGCTCTAGTTTTTTTTTTTTTTTTTTAAAACTAGCAGAACATGCAACTAACAGTTGATTATATAAGGTAAAACAATGGATAGGAGTCCACAGTCGGAGTGTCCATTAGTTTACAAGTCCAAACGGGCAGGGGGTTTTACTGTACGCCCTGAACGTGTTTTTGATTGGGGTATCAATACGCGGAGTGTCCAGAGTTTCAGTAATTAGCCGAGTGTTTGGGGGTTGTCTGAGGCGAAACGGGTGTTTCTGCTCTCTCGCTCATGGGTGGACTCTCTATTGGTGCATTGGGTGTATTGATTACGGCACTTCAGTTGCCTCGCACAATGCCCTGATCTGTTTGAACTACATAGGATCGTGGTGATTGGGATTTCTCAACAACTTTGCCCTCGCGGTTTTGGTCTCGAATCCTGACCAGATCGCCTGGCTGTAGAGTGGGCAGTTCAGGTGCTTTGAGTCTCTTGTTGAATGTCATTTGTTGAGTTGATCTGTAGGCATCCTCTCTGGTACGGACTTTGTCAAGATCCTCATCTTGCACCTTTGATTTCAGAGTGCTTGGCAGAACAGGAAGTTGTGTGCGTAGATGCCTCTCATCAGTAATTCACTTGGAGATAGGCCATTTTGAAGTGGGGTTGACCTATATGTGAGAAGGGCAAGGTACGGATCAGTGTTTTTCTTGAGGAGTGCTTTTGCAATACAAACTGCTCTCTCAGCCTCCCCATTTGCTTGTGGATATCGCGGCGAGCTTGTGGTGTGCACAAATCCATACGTTGCTGCAAACTGTTGGAAAGTCTCAGCATTGAACTGGGGACCATTGTCAGACATGACAATATCGGGTATGCTATGCACTGCAAAGATGGGTTTCAGTGCTGCTATTACGCTGTGTGAGGTTTGCTCGTTGAGTTGTTTGACTTCTATCCAGTGAAGAAAAGTAGTCGATGACTAGGAGGTAGACATTCCCGAAATGCTGGAACAGGCGAAGTAGCGAGTTGTAGGGCATGTATGCTGGCTAACCTGTTAGGCAGTACAGTCTGATTTGGGAACATTCCTCATTTGCCTTGTGAGCTTGGCTGATTTCAAAAAGACGTTGTGAGGAGGCAGGAAGTGTGTTGACAACAAAGTCAACAAAGTCAACAAAGTTGTCTGTGTCCACGATAAACGCTATGTCGGATTTCTCAGGGATCCCGACTGGAGCTCGTGAAAGTGCATCAGCTGTTGTCTGATGTTTGCCAGGTACATACATGATTTGTGGGTTGAATCTCATTAGTCAGAGACGAAACCATAAAAGTGCGTGGTGGCATTTTTGACAGTTCAGTCATGCTCAAAAGCGGCACTAGGGGCTTGAGATCAGTTTCCACTGTGGATTGTAATCCGAGTACGTATTCTGAGAATTTCTCACATGCCCAGGTTGTCGCGAGTGCTTCCTTTTCTATGACTGAATAGCAATTCTCTGTGTCGCTCAGCGATCTCAATGCATAGCACACAGGGCGGCGATTGCAGTCATCTTGAATTTGGAGCAGAACTGCACCGATACCTGTCATGGAAGCATCGCCTGCGATGATTGTTGGGCGGTTTGTATCATAGTAACGAGGATCACGGAGGAAACAAGTGTATCCTTTAGTTGCTGAAATAGTGGTTCATTGAGATCTGCTAGTCCAGTGATGAATTTCCCAAGCTGATACACCATGCCCATAAACCGTTGTAGCTCTGTAATGTTTGTGGGTGTGGGGAACTGGGCAATGGCTGCTGTCTTCTGGGTATCTGCGAGGAGACCAGATGCATCTACAATGTGGCCAAGGAACTTGATTGTGTTCCTTGTAAACTCACACTTGCTATTGAGTGTTAGTCCTGCCTCTTGCAGTCATTGTAGGGCTGCTCTCACCCTGTGATCATTTACAGCTTGAGATGTACTGTGGATGAGTACATCGTCCATGTGGCAGATTACTCCCTCGAGGCCCACCAGAATACCAGACATTGTCCGAATATTTCTGGTGCAGAGCATATGCCAAAGGGAAGCCTGTTGAAACAGTATCCAACAGTATCGTGAGCAATTTTGACTGATCGTCCAGTGGAAGTTGCCAGAATCCACTATTGGCATCGAGCTCAGTGACCTTAGAAACTGTTGCCCCAGTGTCTAACTTGAAGCATGTTTTGTGTCCATTGAAGGATATCTCGGCTGTCCAGTAGTCTTTGTTGCTGGAGACTTCACCAAGGAATGGTAAGTCCGAGTCATCATCAAGCAGATCCTGCACCTCGTGAACTTTTGAACTGCGGCAGACACATTTGTAATGTCCCCTTTTGTGACAGCTCGAGCAAATTGAGTCTTTGGCAGGGCAGTGAGCACGAGTATGTCATTCTTACCCACACCATGGGCATGAACTTCCCTGGATGGGTGTGGCAGATGACTGTGCATTTTGGCGTTGACTTTGTCCGGTTCTACTCGTTCCCATGTGGGATGCAGATGACAACCGGAGGTGATCGACTTGTGAAGGTGAGTTTATTTCACCTCTCACCACATCTTGGTTTAGTTTTCGTGATTCCGCCCGGCGGCATACCTGGACTGCTTTGTCAAGGGTGTGGTCAGATTTGGACTGGAGATGATCCGACAATTTCTAATCTGACACCCCTACGACCATTCTATCTCTTATGAGACTGTCTTTCAGTTCCGCATATGCACAGTGGTCAGCTAGATGGTACAGGTCCTGAATGAAAGCATCGATAGGTTCCCCTGGCTGTTGCTTTCGTGTGTTAAAACAAGCCCTTTCTACAATGACATTACGGCGGCCTTCATAATGTTTATTTAGTGCCTGAGTGACTTCATCATATGTTGCAGTTTCTTCATTGAGTCTTAGAATTATTAGTATGTCATTGGCACAATCACCCATAGCATAGAGCAAAGTGCTCACCTGTTCCCTTTGTTGATTTTGAGACAGGCCTGATGCTATCCGATAGGGTTCAAAGCGCTTAATCCACATTGGCCACAACTCACTTTGATTCAGTCCATTTCCACCATCAAATTTCCATTGTAGTGGGAGATGAGTTGTTACTTGTGGCTGGCTTGCTGCTTGGGGTGGATTAGAAGGCATTTTGCTGGTTCAGAGACTGCTGCCACCATGTAGTAATGTAACAAGAGAAGGTTTTATGGGAAGACTGTGCAATGTGTTTATTCCAAGATGGCAAGTTACATGGCAAGGTATCACATGTGCATAACGTGGTGAACACAAGAGGGTGCTACACAACATAGCCATGTTGGCTTACTCTACAGTTACCCAAAACATTTTTCGTCAGTCCCTACAGAAATGTACACATTCCTATGGGAGAAAATTGGCAACAGTGTTACAACACAATACAACAGTGTTAGCACAAGAACACAGATACGATGAGCATCAACCTTGTTACGTCGAAAAGAATTATTGTCAATATCTTTGCAACAAGTATGATTTGAAATACAATTTTTCAATTACTCAATCTTAGTAAATCCGGAAGAAAGCTGCCAATAATATTATCATTGTGCAGACGTTAATCTGCTAGTTAATCCACACTACGGTTTAAGAACGTCCGGTAGGCCGTGTGTGTCGTGCCACTAGTGGGGTTTTTGTAAAAGACTGATGATGAGTGATACGTTAGGGAGTTTCATGCATGCAGTTGCTTGCATTCTCCAACTTGATTTGTGTAAATGTTATAGCATCCATGGCGCGTCAAGGCAGAAGTGTTCTTTTTCAGGTTTTTCATTCAATTTATTCATATTGCATCCGTAGCAAACGAGCTGTAATTACTCTATCTGCACTAATTCTACGTGCACAAGGTTTTGAAGAGTGAAACACGTATGCCACGCAAAAGTTTTATGCCATGGGAGCTTTTGAATTGCTGGCACTCATATTTGGGAAGGGATCTCACAAGTGAAAAATGGCCTTATTTGAGAACATTTCCGTAACCCCCCCCCCCCCCCCCCCCCCCCCCGTTCTGTCTCTGATATGATTAAAGATACAGATTACTTCTGAAGAAAATTAATCTAAAATCTTGCATTTGAAAGTATGGATTGGCTAAATACATGTACATGTGCATACAGGATAGATAAATTACCATGTTGTGTCCTTTGGCTTTTCTCCCAAACGTGTATTCCAAAGCAGTTGTTGGCTTTGGGTGTTCCTCTTTCTCCAGAAATCTCAGAATAACAGATGTTTTTCCCTAGACAATTAAAGGAAAAAGTTCAGCTTATTAAGTATTAAAGGTAACTAAAAACTTGTTCATGCAATATCTAAACCATTCAGCCATCAAGTTTTCTAGGGGTATCTGGTCAACAGGCCCGGATTACCCAATAGGCACAGTAGGCACTGTGCCTAGGGCTTAAGAAAATAATCAGGGGCTTACGAAAGTACCACAGTGTGTCATAAAACACATAAAGGCCTACCCACACACACATCCACGCACAGAGAATAGTTTTTAACGGTTTTAGGGTCTCTCTCAGAATTATTGATTTCACCAACTGACACTTTACAGCATGTACATGTAGGCAAGTCATGTAGGCCCTACGTATACAATTTAATACCGGTACATGTAAAGTCTGTCACTCTGAAGCATGGTGCCAACCATAGGCGTCGATCGGTCCCGAGCTGTTCTGACTTTTTAGCTTTAAATCTTTTGATATAAAAATATAAATTGCGGACTAGGGGTTGCCGCGCAGCAAAGTTGTTCCAGCGCTGCGCGACGTGGAAACTGAATTTCCCCATATATGTAGTGCACACAAAACAGAATTACCATTTGTGCATATGGATATTTAATTAGCCGTAATTCCAAAACCCTTTGACCTATAGTCATGAAATTTCATGGGTATGTTAATGATAAGTTTTTCTGTGTATCTACCGAGTTTCATAATTTATTGTCGCTGGATAGCAGAGATCTGGGCCCCCCCCCCCCTCCTCTTGGTCAATGCAAATTCGATACAGCAACAATTACAATGCATGCCATGTTAAATACTACTAGAAAAGGAATAATACGTTTAAAATAGAAATCTTCAATTTCATTATCTTTACACCCCAAATTAATGAATTTAATTCCCCCCCCCCTCCCGAGTAAACAAAAATTTAAACGACAAACTTTTAAGTCCTTTCCAGGGCCAAGTTTCACTCAAGTTTTGTAACAACCAGAATAACGTCTTGCAGCACCTCTATCTTATTGGCGAGTTGTTCAACCAGGGAAATTAATATTCATGAGTTGACAATGTGGTGCTTGGTCGGTCCGCGCCCTCACGACTACGTGCGTGTGTGGTGTATGGGAAGCAGGCGATGCCGAATCTGGTCAATGTATACACACACACACACTTGCGGTTTATGCTTGCTTTGGATGAGTCGGCATTTTTTGCCGACGTTGCGTCAACTGTGTGAGGCAAATGTTTAGGCTATCATTTAATGGGCAATTCAAGATTATATCTGTAGGAATTGATTTGTTAGCAATTTTTGAAAAAGGAAAGGTCTTTTCAACAGAACTTCCGGTCTGATGACGTCATACGCCTAAAACTTTGTACACGTTTTAAGTGTCTTCGCACACGTCTTAAGGTCAGCATATACACCAATATTTAGGCGATTCCTACAAACTTCCCCACATACATCTATTCAAAATACATTTTTGAAAATTTTTAACCTGTCGCTAGAGGGCGCTCAAAGATTGCATGACGTCATCGGTAGATGATTTGAAGAATACTATCAGCAAAGAGACTAACACCGTTGAAAGCAAGTTCATATCTATAACCACTTTCACCAGTTTTGGCCTTTTTCGACCGGAAGCAAGGGTCACGTGATCGCACGCACACTGAATGAAATAAAGACCTCAACCTACTCTACCACTTGCCGGCAACAGAATGCTGCGGACGCGTACGGTTGATTTCTTATGCATTTTTAAATATTAAAAGTGTCACAATTTAATTGCCTATAAATAAACACCGGATGACGTCATCATGATGTCATCATTACACAATGTTGTTTGAATTAGGGTCTTTGCATGGACAAAGAGTGGTGTAAATGAATTACTGGCAAAGAGTCGAAAATGCCTTTTGAAAATCGACAATTTTTTAAAAATTTCTGTGTACAAAGTTTATGGGAACATTTAAATATTCAAAATTCTATAATAAATCGCGTGATGCATCAGCATGACGTAATGATTCGGCATACATCTGCAGGTGATGTTCTAAGTATGTGCCAGGTTTGAAGTAAATCGGAATTGTTTTAAGGCCAAAAGTGGCGTGTAGAAAAACTTGTACAAAGTCTACGGGATTTTGTGCAAAAAAGAAGTAAAGGAAGAAGAGGAAGAAAGAAAAAAATCAGAACAAAAAGAAAGGCTTTTTCGCAAAAGTTGCGAAAAAGCCAAAAAAACATTCACGTTGTCTTTTCTGTCTTCACAAAACACCTCTCAACAACCCTTTTGTGTCAAAAATCCTCGTATTTATTTGTTTGCCTACTTACATTCGCTATTTTTTAAAAGAAACCTCTGTTGTTTTTACAACTTTGCTTTGTAATTTAACTAGTTTGCAATTCGATGTCACAGTGACGATATGAAAACACTCGATGCAGCGATGACTGGTTCCCGCCACGCCATGCACATAAGAAACCGCGTCCTCTGTGGACACAGTCAGAAACATTTCTCATGCAATGGCTGTCCGAGTACGGGCGGTCTGTGCTTGACGTGAGTATTTTTTTATTGTTCTCGCACTCGAATGGCGGGAACACGAACCCACGAACACTGCATACATGGACTTTGAAAGGATCTCACACCACCTATCCGTCGGGGTTTTCAAGAATGATATACCCGTGTCATGAACAACTCGCCCAAACTCGGCCAATGACTGCTTGCTAGATGATACGTAACGAGTTGATGGCTGCACCCCGACATACACCGGCAATATCAGACACACCCTGTACCCTTGCCAACGATTTCAGCAACTTTTTCTTTGAATAAGTCAAAAACATTCGTGCGCTCATAGATGACCTTCCTGTACAGTCCCCTTCAACTGAAGATACAACTCTCCACCCAGAGTACAACATATCAGAATTTTATCCCATTTCTGAGAAAGATCTTGGTGAACTCATAAGTCAGACTGCCACAAAGTCCTGCCAGTTAGATCCCATCCCAACCTGGCTTCTCAAACAGCACATCAAAATCCTACTTCCAACATTGACTTAAATTGTGAACGCTTCCCTCTCATCTCGGAATTTTCCTGAGGCACTTTGTGTCGGTATGATCATGCTGATCTTAAAGAAGCCTTCTCTTGATAAAGATGAACTTTGGAACTACTGGCCAGTGTCCAACCTTCGCTACCTCGCTAAGCTCATCGAAAAGGTCGTCTGCCTGCAACTCAAGCAACACATCAACACTCATTCCCTTGCCGATCCCCTTCAGTCCACCTACAAAGCTGGCCACAGCATAGAGACTGCACATTGTTTTGTGTTCAAAATGATATTTTGAAAACTCTTGACAATAATAATGCTATGTTCTTAGTAATGCTTGATTCGTCTGCTGCATTTGACACTCTTGATCATGGCATTATGCTGCGTCGCCTGAAAAACTGGTTTAGCATAACACATACTGCTCTCAAGTGGTGTGCCTCCTACTTCAAAAATATCGGTAGAAGGAGTTATGTCACCGTTGCAGGGGCCGACTCAGATGAGAGCCATATCCATTTTGGCGTCCCTCAAGGGCAGGGGCGGCGGAACCGGGGGGGGGGGGGGGGGGGGGGGGGGGGGGGGGGGGGGGGGGGGGGGGGGGGGGGCTGGGGGGGGGGGAGGGGGGGGCATTTGCCCCCCCAGATTTTCCCAAGTGCCCCTTTTGCGGCCATAAATGTGCCCACTCGAACAGTAAAGTGCCCCCTCAAGATACAACAAAAATGCCCTTAAAGTATCTTACTATTTCTTACAAGTAACCATATCCCAATAATGGTATAGATATTTTTGATATAAACGAGGAATATGAAAACCAAATCCAAAACCCATACAATACGGCCTGAAAATGGGCACATAATGCATATTTAGCATATAATCATTGGTTTTGAAGAGTGCCCCCTATGTTGGAAGATGGTACCAGCCCCCCCCCCCCCTCCCTCTATTTGATTTTATGGAGGCCAAGTGTCCGGTGAAAAAAACGTGTCGACATTTCAGCATGGGTTTGCAAGGGCCCCTTTTTGGTGAGCTCGAATGGGGCACCACCATATCCTCTGCTACTAATGAAAAGGATGTCAACTTGGCCGGAAATATCTGGTCTAAAAATAAGATGATTTATTCCATGTGTTGAACTTCACCTATAGAATAAAGTAAATGCGGTCATGTGCCAATGGCTATGACCTCGTAAATTAGTGAAGTTCCCTTCTTAAGGCAAGCTACTGCAGCAGCCAGTAAGAATATGGGTTACGCAAGCTGGCAGAAAGGAGAGCTTTAATGTACCTGTTGGTTCCAAACGGGGCTTAGGCGAGTGACCCAATGACGGTACTCGAATCCAAAGATGGCAGGCCTATCTACCGGTACTTCACAGTTGGAGGTCAACTGATAAACCTGTCATGCATCAGAGTGATTTTGAGGAAACTGTAGATCTATCATTGAAATTCTGAAAGAGGACTACAATTATGACTCATCGGAAACCCTGGACAGTAGATTGTCAGCAAAATCCCAAATGACGGTGCAGATGCAGATCGGGGATTAGCAGCTACTATCAAACCCATGGGGAATCAAATCTGCTTCTGACTCTAAAGACTGTAGCTTTCAGATAATGATAGCATCCAGGCGCAAAGATGCAGAGTGGCTGTGTCTGGGTGTAGAATGATTGTTGTGAGACCAAGGTGGTCCAGAAGTAAAGGGATTATGGCTGCTGTGGCCAAAAAGGAGCTACATGTATGAGTCTATCAAATGCATGAATTCCTGTTGCTTGAAGCTGAAAGATTCTTCTAGACCAGAGGACCATAAACTTGGCGAAAGGCTGGAATTGGAATCTGGTAGCCTGGAAGGGATGCAAATACATGTAGATAGGTGCAAGTACCGGTAGCATTCTGAGAATGTTGAGGACCTTAATCTGAATACTGATGGCAGAATAAATCATTCTGTTGAAGTGATTTCAATACTTTCTTTCCGGCCAGGTGGAACATTAGAGGGAACAGCTAACTGAGTGCTCTGAAGTGGCCAGGCAGGGAGAAAGAGTGAGTTCCCCGGACGATGCATGAAGTACACTTCATCTGAACTGTGGAATTGTCCGTCTGGACCAAGACAAGCTTGATTAGGACTTTGGATATGAGCAAATGCAAGGCTTTGAGCACTGTCAATAGCTCTGGTTGAAGGAATGCAATTGGCTCTCTTTGGTTGGATAAGTGCTTGGTACTAAATGACCATCCAGATGAAATCTCAAACCCTGTCCGAGGTACCTATTATGATGGTAGAAGATGCAGTAACATTGTCCTGAAAATGCCATCAGTGCAGTAGGTCATAGCTAAGATGGGTTACTGGAATCCCTTTGGAGATGACTCTTAGTGTAATGGGAAAGACACAGGAAAGGCTGCACAGAGCGCCTGTGTGTCATGCACCAGGGAACTAGGTCTATCATCAAGATGCCAGAAGGTTCCAATGCCATCACGTTGTGTCTAACGTTCCCCAGTAATGCCTGACACCAAGTTGGAAAATGTTTCAAGGTAGTTCAGCTGTCGTGAAGGAGCTCGATACTGAAGATGAAAAACAACACCAAGTGATAGCCAACATCTAAGTACAAGAGCAAATTGATCTGTTTTGCTGTAAAAAGGAATGCTGCCACAACATAGGCGATTCTTATAAAGACCCCTAGGAGCTGTGAAAATACAAAAGGTCTGTAGCGAAACCCTGTAGGTATGCGGAATTCCACTTCTGATGACCCACATATGGGTACTGTAGAAGGACATTAGCATCCCAATGATTGATGGAAGCAGCAAACCAACCTGTCTTCAGAGACTGGAGGGAAGTAGAAAGCCTTTCCATCTGAAGTCCTTTGCTGCATGTAAAAGTTTGATAATGTGCCGCCATATGTCAGACTTCTACTGACTGAGAACAAGGGTGGGGTAAGCCGAAACCCGATCCAGTTGCAAGTTTCCTGATCTAGTTCATTCCCTAAGGAAAGATATCCTTCTCCAAAGCAACAATCAAGTGTATGTTGAGGCAGAAGCTCGTGGTCAGGGAGAACCGAGGTAGATAAGAATTCCAGAAAATGCTTCAAAGAAGTGTCTGACAAACCCCTTATGTATGAAGTTACATAAAACCACCTCTGACCGGACTCTGTAGGACAAATACTTGTTTTAAAGACTCGAAGCAGTGAAGATATGTAAAATTCTGCTGTAAGCTAAGGAAAAAGACCGGTCTACAAAACTCCTGGCTGAAGAAACTAATCTCACTCAGTTGAATCATGCTGGTTTGAGACCTGGTTTGAGACCTGGTTGGAGACCTACGTAGAAGATGTACATTCATGCTAAGCACTGATGAGGATTACATGCAACTGATCTCAAAGTATGGAATCCTGCACCATAGTCTTGCCATTTAACCTAACATTATGCAAAAGAAACATTCATCCAAGACAAGAATGCCATACAGCTGGAAATTTCCAACAAGTCCCAATGCAATTCCAACAATCTGGACAATAAAGCAGAATGATAAAATCTCCAATAAAAACTGCATCAGTTAAGAAAGATATATTTGCAACTTACAAGGGCACCAGACAAAAGAAAGAATATTCTGTGAAGGCCCCGTGGCATATGGAAGAGGAGTGCAGTATGGAAGGCAGTAATCCTTGGTCTATTGTAATAATCAACAAATCATCCCAACAGGCTGATGAATATAAACAGGCCAGCTAAGCAAATTATTCAAGTGATAGATTATCAAGGAATCTGTGGAAGGAATCCTCATTCAAGACATTCCCCAACACCAGTGGCGTACGCAGGATTTTTTCAAGGGGGGGGTTTCAAAATTGGATGTCATCATTTATGACGCTAGAAATGAAGATGGTAAATATTGTGTTGGCGCCAGAAATAAAAGATAGTATCAGTGGGCTAAACTTAATGCTAAAATAAAAGTCGGGAGTTTGTGTTGGCGCCAAACATAGTAAATCGAGAAAAAAACCCAACATGTTCTGTGTCTTTAGAGTATATGATGAACATGAGTAAAGGGGTCAATGTGGGCAGTCCCCTCCCTCAACAGCATTACAAAAATAATCATAATAATTCAAGAAAAGTGACACGGGCTGCGGAAGTGCTAGGATCTGTTCTTGTAATTGGCTAAAATTACTCAGCTTCGTCCCTGGATCTCATGATTCTCATCCGTTGGGAATCTAATTCTTTGTGTAAGCCGCCCCCACCCCTAAGGCCAAACTCCAGATACAGGATACAAATGCGCTCTGGTCACAGGGGCGGATTCAGACTGCCATTTGTCCGGGGGGGGGGGGGGGCCTAGAATTGTAATGAAGGGTCCAGGACCTGCGAGCGCGCAGCGCGAAGCCCCTACGGCGTGGGGTCCGGGGCCCGCTTTAGGGCCCCGTGAAAATTTCGAATCGTAGATGCTCTGTGGTGCAATCTGAGGCGATTCCTGGCTACTTCCACCGTTTAGAAAAAGTTTTAAACATCGAAAATTCCCTTTAAATTTGTTATTTTTTTTGTTCTTTATAAAGTTTGTTATGTACTCAAAGTTGAGAACCATGTTCCATCTCCGTATTTTTTTCACAATTTTCTATTTTGGAAAGGGATTTAGGCCACTTGTAGTCCGAGCCTCAGCCATTCGCTGCTGAAGGTACAAATAAGGTGGGGGCACCGCTAGGGTGAAATTAGCATAGAGGGAATTTGGCCGGAGGACTAATACGAGTGCGGAGCGCGAAGCACTTACGGCGTGGGGTCCGGGGCCCGCTTAACCCTAAAGGGGCCGGGTAATTTTGACCATCTCTCAGCCGGGGGGGGGGGGGGGGGGGGGGGGGGGGGGCGGATTCCGCCCCCCCCCTAAGATCTCGGCCATCGAGAGACGAACAATTTTGAAACTCGGCACATGCATAGAGCAACTCTTCCTAAACATACCCAAGAAATTTCATGACTATAGGTCAAAGGGTTTTGGAATTATGGCTAATTAATTATTCATATGTACGAATGGCAATTTTGCTCTGTGTACACGACGTATATGCGAAAATTCAGTTTTCACGGCGCGTAGCGCCGGAAAATTTTCGTTACGCGGCAACCCGTGGTCCGATTTTTATGTTTTTTGTATCAAAAGATGCTCAAAGCTCGAGGCTAAAAAGTCATAACAGCTCGGGTCGCGAAATATTTTTTTTAGAGGCTATCACGGAAAATGTTGAGGGGGGGGCGGATTCCGCCCCTCCCCCCGGCCCCTTTAGGGTTAAGGGCCCCGGGAAATTTCGGATCGTAGATACTCTGTGGTGCAATCTGAGGCGTTTCCTGGCCACTTGCCCCTGATTTTTTAGCAGAAGTTGTTAAAATTGAGGGGATATTTTGTTTCATTTGTTTCAAATACATATAGGCCTATATACTCTTGCTCTTATAAAGTGTCTTCTGTATTCAAAGCTTAAAGTTGAGAACATGCACATAATTTGTAATTGTTCCGCGCTCGGTCACATAACTCTCTTTTCCCTCCATATTTTTACATGGCAAAGGGGGGTGTTTAACAGCCAAAACACCCCCCCTGCGTACGCGCCTGCCCAACACAATCATATTTATTGGGATGGAACAGGAAAGAATGCAGCATCCAGACGCCGGTAACATTTGAGTACAAGTCTAAGGAAAATTAAGATTTTTTTTTTTTTACAATCTTGTAAATGATATCAAACTAAAAGTGGCATCAGGTTGCAACATACTATCCAAAGTTAGCTTCAGCATAGATACATATGAGCTTGTATTATGAACATGCTCATTAGTACTAGTACAAAGTAGTAGAGGACCAACCCACTGCCAGATAGAATGGAAAAACTAAAAAGCTTACCCTTAGCCGGTCGAGTGCTGCTAATGGAAAGGCTGTCATCTTATATTAAGGGAATAACAGTGTAAGGAGGATTCTCACACTGTTATTCCCATTAATAAATACCTTTATAACGAAATAAACAGTTAAAATGCTCCAATTTTGTGATTTTTTCCGGCGATATTTCCAGACTTTTTTGTGTTCATGTTCATGGGCCATATTTTAGCTTAACACTACAGCTATAACGACGTAAACTCAACAGAAACTGCTGCCGTAGCGAAACAAATTACAACAATATTTTCATATCTTTACCTGATGGAGGAAGCTGAAATCTCGTTTACACATTCCTTGTGTCCGGAATTACAAAGATGCTTGGTTTAGGAAAGGTAAATATGTCGGTGGGTGAAGTGTTTCAAAGAAAATAAATCGTAGATCTACGCTTTCGTCGTAAACATCCTCAGTATATACTGCACTGCTGTATGATGTCGTTTTAAAACTTCCTTACGCGCCTGCACGCACGCATCCCTAGCAACTGTGTTGCGTACGCGCGCGTCAGTCTCACGCGATGGGGGTTGAGCGCATGTGCAGTGCTCAATTGTTAAAAGCTACCGCAGGACTGTTACTATCCTTGAGCTGGTAGTAGTAGTAACCGTTTTCAGTTTCGTCTTGGCGTTTATGTCCACCATTGTAATGAGCACAGCGAGTACAGTTAGTGTTTGTTTGTAATTCACACGATGTTCACACTAAAGCGTCCCTGAACAAAACTAGGAGTCGTCTTTGTGTAACACGGCTATTTGCGGGACATGTGGGCGCTGAGGGTGAGGCTTGGGCGCTATTCTTTTCAGCGAATGTTTGTGCGCATGCATGCTGATATGCAAATGTAGGTAAACAGAGGTGAGATGTTTTCTGTAATGGAATTTCCATTAATTTTTAAGAATTATTTCCCGTAAATATTTTGACAATAATCAAGGTAAGTTTAATCACTTTTTGTGGACATTATTTTGTATAGTTTTTGAATGGAAATGGAAATAGTTCAGGCTGAAATTTGCATTTAATTGAATACCCCATGCAATCAGAGCAAAAAAATAAAATTGGGCAAAACAAATAAGAATAAAAATTCCTACCTACCGATTCTATTTTTGAAAGGCAAGTAATTGGAAGTAGAACTTTGGAAGGGGGGGCCTTAGGAGATAAAGGAATAGTTTAACAATGTTCACTTGTTTACTCACCGCACTTTTACTTCCCATTATGACAATAGTTGCCTCTACTCCAGCTTGCGTTCCTTCTTTTTTCCCTGAAAATATTAACCAAGCTTCGTTTAACAGCAATTAATGCAATTACCATCAAGCAAACAAATTTTAACAAACAGAGTACATATTTTGATTCAATATATAAACACTAACACCCCTCCCAAAATTGTTCCAGCACAAATCTATGATGATATTGGTGAAAATCTATTATGTGCATAGTCATCACAGTTAACAACCCTCAGGCCCGTGTGGGTCATTTTAAAAGCTTAGGATCAAAAGAGTAACAATTTTTCCTGTCCTGTTACCTTGCAACAATTTGTCATACTTAACTATAGTTAAGAATGACATTAAAAAAAACAGACACAATTAGGAAAGATGGAGAGAAATTTGGTGGAAATTATACACCCCTTATAAAGGCTAAAATTGTACCATACAGTCTTACAGTTTTTATTTTAGGTTTTCTGGGAGAAATTGCACTGAACCAAACACAAATAGAGATTCCCGTTTGTTGAGTAACAAAAGCAGGGTGATCAGGGAAGGCAACTATCTTATTACACATACATATATTGGCCAGTAATGTTGTGAATATTTTTATGTAACAACAGAGCATCATAAAATTCAGTTTTTTCAAAGGGAACCATTTGATTACATGTGAAAAAGAGCATCCGTTGGGATATGATAAATTTCGGCACACATTTTATTTACATGTACACGTTACTTCTTGTTTGATGAAGTCACCAGTTCAAATTTGCGAGCTGAAAAGTACTTCAGAGAGGATGCATTAATCATAAAGTTAAAAGAATTTTTGAAAATATAAAAATCACATTGAATGTCATAAACAAAGAAAAACTGATCATTTTCAAATTCTCCTACAACTTTCAGTCTAATGCCTTAGGCCTAATGATTCTGAAACCTAGCAAAGACAGTTGCAGTTGTCGAAGAAATATCAACAAGCTATTTGTTATTATTAAAAATGCAACTGTCTTTGATGTGCTGCAAAGGACTGCCCTTCACATCTTTTTGGCTGTTTCCGCAAAACCTGCCAAAATCAGCAGAAAAGCCTTGGTTCTTGTTTTTTGGGGGCCTTGGTTCTTGTTTTTTTGGCTTTTTCACCTTTAGCGAAAAAGAATTGTTTTTGTTCCGATCTTTTCTTTTTCTTCTTCTTGTGCCCACAAATCCAATAGACTTTGTTCAGGTACATTCTGGGTGCCACTTTTGACCTTCAACATTCATGTACTTCAATTTTGATGAAACTTGGTACAGTCTCAGACCCACAGTGAACTCATAGAAGTGTTATATGACTTCATCACACATCAAATTACAAGCATTTAAAGTTTAACAGATGTAATCTTTGAAAATCCACAAAAAATGAACCGTGAGAAACCTGAACTTGACTTTTGCATAAATTGATAGAATAATCCAGGATCTTTATATCATCTTATGTGTGCTGAATCACGTGACCCTTCCAGCCAGTCCACACCAGAAGTGCCTTATCCCCAACTCTTCTAGGGGGTGTGCAAAATCATATTAATATTGGAGGATTAAGGACTGTTAGGGCTACAATTTGAAAGTGGAAAAGATGGGAAATGCTTTCAACAATGTTAGGCTCTGGCTAAGTTGTACTTCACCTAAAAATTACAGGTGACGTTTAAAATGTTTGAATGTCCTTGAACGGCAGGTTGAAAAATGTTTAAAATGAGTAATCAGTTGAGACGTGCAGCAAAGTTTGCTGAAATCACTTAATAGCTGATGAATTCAGTGGAACGCTGCTATAACGAACATCACGGGATCCACAGAAAATGTAAAATTATAAATGGAGAACTGTATAAAATTGACACCATCACAGAGAAGAGAAGCCAGGAAAAGGGAGAGAAATGGCTGGGATAAAGGTATGTTTTCCATTTTGTTTTTTACCTTTTAACCTTTAGTTTTCAAATTCGATGCTTTAGAGGAAAACAACTAACTGCATTGGTTTTCACTATAGGTTTTGAGACATCAGCAGTAGTGCTACATTCCGAACCGAACCCGAACCAAACTGAAATGGTCGTTTTGGAAGTTCGATAAGTACATGTATTTATGCTATTGCTTGCAATGAAAGGGCAAACTTAAAGTATACCGATGATCGAATTTACAATGTTGACAAGTCACTGCATTCATCTTCAGTGTGTGCAGTGTTCCTGCATGACAAAGTACGTTTGGACCAAACCATTTGCATTGAAGGGTGCGCTTTCCTTAGCACAATAGCACTGTTGACTGCCAGCATCTCCAGTATGGTTATGTGCTTTGAGTAGTCTTCTGGGCCCAACCGACCCGCCACTTGGCGCGGGTGGAGGATGGCCCCAAGCCAGAAAGTCACACGTCTGTTGTGATGGTCACTGACGGTTTGGGATTGTGAAAAGCGCGCCCCTCCATAAGGTTGGCACTGTCGAGCCACCAACGGAGGTGTGGTACTAGCCAATGTGTGGTCGGCACCAGATGATGTATGTGGTGAAGACTGGGACGATAAAACGACAGCAGGTGTAGTTGGATGGGGCGCATCCTTAGCCTGCAAATATTCACAACGTCCACCATACTGGCCATAAGGACGAGCAACCTGAGCCAAGCTTGCGCTGGGGCCATGGTCATCGGGAGAAACAGATATACACACTGCTGAAGGTTCACAATCCGTTCCTCCGTAGGATTGGCCAATCCATTCTTGAGGTAGAGTGAGGCTCCTAGAAAGATTGGGAATTGGGACGGGCGTGGGTGGGACTTCTCGGTGTTGATGATAAACCCGAGGTCTGACGCAAGACGCCATGTCAGTTTGAGTGCTACTAACGTGGCCGCCTGAGATTGACCCATGATGAGTCAGTCATCGAGGTACATGAAATTCATCACCCCGTGTTTTCGTAGCATGGCCCGACTGTTTTCACTATTCGCGTGAAGACTCGGGGTGAGGTGGACAGGCCGAATGGGAGCACCAAATACTCGTATTGGACATCCTCGTACTGGAAATGGAGGAATCTCCAATGGTCCTGCCTGATGGGGATGTGTAAGTATGCGTCCTTTAGGTCTAGGCTGGCTCCCCATGTCTCCCCATGCTGGTGTCGAGTCCAGCCAGGGGTTATGGTGCATGTGCCCTTGGGCAAGGCACTTTGTCACTCATTGCTTCTCTCCACCCAGGAGTAAATGGGTACCTGTGAGGGCAGAGATGGTTATGTGATTGATTTAGCTTGGTTGCGCTTAACAGGCAGCATCGAGCTGTATACTGCCCAGGGAGCTGAGATGGTATTTGGAATGTTTAATTGGCCCAATGATCTGGGGTAATAATAATACTGTAAGCGCCGTGATTTAGTTTACTAAAAAGGGCGTTCTTCAATGCCGATTATTATTATTATTATTATAAACTTGTTGAGGGGCATTAAATTTAAGATCAGGTGCCATACGCCAGTCTCCTTCTTAGGTACCAAGAAGAAGGTCGACATGCAGCCCAATAGCATTGCCCAATAGCATTGTTGCGTTGGACGGAACTGTCATTGGCCGAACGATCATGTCCGAGGGGGAAGGGTATTCTTCAAATCATCTACCGATGACGTCATGCAATCTTCGAGCGCCCTCTAGCGACAGGTTGAACATTTGCAAAAATGTATTTTGAATAGATGTCTGTGGCGAAGTTTGTTGGAATCGCCTGAATATTGGTGTATATGATGACCTTGACCCACTTGAGACGTGTGCGAAGTTTTAGGCGAATGACGTCTTCAGACCGGAAGTTATAATAAAAAGTCCCTTTTTCATTTGAAAATTCCTGAAAAATCAACCATGGCAGTTTTTATGTTAGTTTTTACTTTAATTGTCGATTTAAGGGTAGGTCTAAAACATTTCAAAGCTTCGAGGCAATAAGCGAACTCGGACATGCCCTGCGCACGCTTAAAACTTCAGGCTGACAATACCTCTGCTCTAAAACACGCTACGCACATACATCGTATGTCAGTCAGCCTGCAGAGCACGTGTTGCCGAGGTCAAATCCTGTCCACATCACAGTGACCGTTTTAGCCGATTTTCGGCTAACTTTAACAGATTTTATGTTCATGCATGCGCATAGTCAGGGACGTATAATAACTTTGTACACGTGTTAGCCCATTGACTTTGTACACGTTTTCAAGCCACCACTTGGCGATCTGGAATCGTCATCAATGTTACAGACAAGGAAAACCCTCATCCAAAAATATGCCAAGACTATGACGTCATGATGACGTCATCACCTAATTTTTTTTATTGATTTTTGAAAATTTACGTGCATAATATGAAGTCCTATATCTACAGAACTGTAGGCCTAAGTCTGATTGTGTTGAAACTTGGTATGTGGCTAGACCAGGATGTGTTAAAGGTAAAAACAAATTAGGTGACGCCATGATGACGTCATCCGGAGATTTTATATGAATATTTGAAGTTTTTGACCTTTTAGCTATATCTCATGAACGTAACATGCAAAATTCAAAATTCTTTGTGTATTTGGTCTGTTAGGTAAAAAGTATTTGCACAACATTTTGAAAAAAATATCTGACATCATTATGACGTCATAAAAATGTGATTTTTCAAAATAAATATAAGAAAAGGTCTGACTGTCATGAAACCTAGTGGGTAGGTAAATAATGGTACTAGTATACAAAGTTTAAAGTGACGTCACGATGACGTCATCGTTTGGTTTTTATAATTTTTAGATATTTATAATTTATTCTGCTTCCACAAATTGCCCACTTTCTTTCATCGGATTGACATTAAACTTGGTTCAAACCAAAATCACAATGACAGAATGTGCATTGAGAAGGGTCTTAAGGATGACGTCATTGCAGGGCAAGTGACATCATTTGATAAAAGTATACTTTAAGATTATTCTAAGCGTTTTGATCAACCTTTAACTGCATGAAGCACTCTGAAAAGTGACTGCAAAAGGACAAACGAAACAAATATTTGTAAAATGCGAAAAAGCCCTGTGTTCTGTTTGCAAACAGACATACAGCTCTAGTCTTTTTTTTTCTTTTTTCAGCCCAAGCCCATAGCATTTGTACATGTATTTTTGTCACTGGCACTTTGGGCACTTAAATTAATCCGATTGCCTTTATACTCAGCTCACACTTAGACCAGCATCTGAAGATGTGCCCCGAACATTGACATCATCGTGACGTCATCATGAGTCACGTGACGTCACATTATATGCGATTTTTCTGTTGTGACCATTTTCTGGCAGAATTCGGCTAGATCTGACAGATTTGGCTATATCTCCAGAGCTACAGGTCCGATTGGGTTGAAAGTTGATACATGTATGTTCCTAGATTGGGATGTGTTACAGATGAAAATTTAAGTGACGTTATGATGACGTCATCATGTGACCTGTGACATCATAAGAACAATTGCATCTTTTACTGGCCTTTATCTCCAGAACTACAGGCCCGATTGGGTTGAATGTTGGTATGTGCCTAGACCGGGATGTGTTAAAGATGAAAATTAAAGTGACGTCATGATGACGTCATCACACGACATATGACGTCATCGTAAAAATACATATTTTATAGGTCCGTATTACAGGAACTACAGGTTCGATTGGGTTCAAAGTTGGAATGTGTTATTTTTAATTTATATTGCACTTCCAGTAACACCGGAAGTGAAAGTCAAACGGTTTGTGCCCGGGAATTGGAGTTGTTGCCCGAGGCATCATTTACAGCCTCACGCAAAAAGGAACACAATACTCTATTTAGTTCTAAAGATACAGCTGAAACTATTTTCACAAATGTTGTCCTTAAATTGTTTGTAATTTGATACATGATGACGTCATGATGATGTCAGATTTTTTTTTACATCTTCGGACGGGGTTCAAATCCATACCAGGTTTTATCATAATCCCGTAAATTGTTTGGAAGAAATTCGGTTCCTTTTGATTTTGAGGCTTTGTCTGCATTTTAAATTCACTTAACTTTGACCTTCCAATTGACCCGGAAGTAAAGGTAAAGCGAGTTCACGTACACAACAAAAAAAGTTCATCAATTAATGGTCTATCTGGTTACAAAGTTGGAACACGATTGATTCTTTTGTTATTAGTGAAAGGTGAAAGGATTGTCATTTTTTCAACAAAAAACGCTTGTTATTTGACACCCGATGACTTCATCATGACGCCAGAGTAATATGCACTGCTAGGGATGAGGGTCGATATATGTTGAAAGTTGCAAGTTCATACCAAATACCATTTAGAAGAAAACCCTCGGAGAAGTATTGTCCGAAATAAATAGAAAGCATGCTTTGAATGCAACTTTTGAACAACGAGGAAGGCAGCTGCATCCTGGTGTATGTTAAACTTGATTGGCAAGTTTTGAATATTCAAATATTTGTCAAGTACAGTTTTGAATAATTGAATACTAAATGACTATCACCTATAACCAGCGGTGGTGGAACGGTTTTGAAACTGGGGGGGGGGGGCATCACCAAAAAGGGGCACTTGCACATCCGTGCTGAAATGTTGACACATTTTTTTCACCGGACACTTGGTCTCCGTAAAATCAAATAGTGGGGGGGGGGGGGGGGGGGGGGCCTGGTAACATCTTCCAAAATAGGGGGCGCTCTTCAAAACCGGCCATTTTCAGGGCGCATTGTAAGGATTTTGGGGCTTGGTTTTCATATTCCTCGTTAATATCAGAATTGTTTATGCCATTTTGAGAAATGGTTACTGAAAACAAATTATCCGAAATTTTAGGGCAATTCTTGTTTTCATCTAGAGGGGGCACATTTATGTCCGCAAAAGGGGCACTTGAGTAAATCGCCCCCCCCCCCCCCCCCCCGGTTCCACTGCCCCTTCCTTAGACAACCCTTTGAATTTTGTATACGCTAAGTTTTGTTTGTTTCAGATGTTGCGCGTTCTGGTATCTGTATATCTGTAATTGGACAATATTTCACAAGCTGCGTTGGCACGATTCTAACGCCATTCTTCCGCAATAGGTCAATTATTAGAAAATGGACAGCCCTAATGATGTCATCATCACGCAATTACTATTGTGCCCAACTTTGAGGCAGTGTGTATGTTCATGTCCATGTACATTTGTGTACAAAATAGGAACTTTATATGACCTTACATGCGATCAAACACACTTGGATAAATAGGGTCAAATTAGGGTTTTTCAAGGAATTGATAGAGCTTGGAAATATCTTTTTTCTGATATACAAACTGTCTAAAGGGGCTAGGTCATTCTGACGTAATTAACAAAAGACAGATTTTTAATCTAGAAATGGCAGCACAAAACCTTTCAACTCAATTATCTCCAAAAGTGCTTTTTGCGTGCCTGGGTTGCTTACGATCTTTCCTTGTCACACGACAAATTGGTGTTAAGCTCAAACACCATACACACACACACAAAAAACATACATGTACAACCGTTTTACTAACCTTGAGGTTGATGCTCCATTTGGACAGCCCGTTTGGTTTCATGGATTGCAATGTCCCACAAAATATCCCTGCATTCATAAAAGTATGCATTTTATGTAAAAAGTTTCAAACAGCCTGAGATTGTAGGGACCAATGTGCATTTTGGGTATAGTCTTTGAAACTCTCCGTATCACTTATAGACACCTCAACAAGTTCAAAAGTACTTGATGCCATTTTTTTCTGGCCCTGTTATGGGCAGGGCCTTGACATTAATAGGTAGTGGTTTTACGTGCAAGAAATGATTGCAAGAAGAACATTTCGCATTTGGATAGCTCACCGAAATACTACATCACTATAATCAAAACAAATACAGAATTTTGTCTCTTTTGGAGGCGAGGCCACATTTTATAAAACTGGGGGGCAATCGGTGTTAACAGAAAATCCAGCTGTAACGGGCAATCTTGGTGGTTTTTTTTCCCCCATCCAGCATAGTGAACAGGGGTGGAGACAGCCTCGCTCCCAGGGTGTCGAGCAGTACGCACCCACCACTACCTGCTCTCTTACCCTGGTACTGGATCATTTGCATGTGCAAGATTTTTGAACATGTATGCAAATGAGGAATAGTCTGGTGCCTGCCTGTGCGTTACATTTGCATTTGTTTTTATATGCAGTGTCTGGGGTAAAAACAGAATCAATTCGTCGCAGTGCGAGCATGGCATGAATGACAAAAATACAGTTTTATTTTAATTAAACTGTTACGTACGATCTTAACGAGACAAATAACATGCAGTATCACATTTCATATTAATATCAACAAATTGGAAAGAAAATGAATATTTTCAAGAAGGCGTGGACGAATGATCGCGAAAACACGTTCTGCATGTTGTGAATAGCAACACCAAGTACACGATATAAATCCATTTCTAGCCAACTGCAGTATCGAATCAGGATACAGGAAGAAAGTTTCCTATCCAGGGCTAACTATTGGAAACGACGTTGGAAATAAAGTAAGCAATGGGGACAAGGTTGGGGTGGAGAACATTGTGACAAAGTAGGAATTAAGTCACCAACTGTATGTTTTAAATATACTAAAACACTGCGAGTCACCCACACATTGCATATAAGGAATCCGGGGGGGGGGGGGGGGGGGTGGAGGGGGCCCTGAGAAGAGCGCGAACGATGGTCTGTGTGCCTCTCTCATTTGTAAAAAAAGGGGTGTGCAAAATGGTGATAATAAAAATATCCCTTTTAAAGTAATTATTTGCATGCTTTCTGGTTTTTACAGGCATAATTCGAGAACTTGTTCTATACCGAATGTTAGTATTGAAAGACCAATTCTAGAAAAGAATCTGTATTTCCTTTGTTCTATTGTGCAGTGAATAACGTATGCCAACACGTGGTCCATGTGTAGTATCACCTTCAATGACGCCCCCATCATTACCGCCTAAAACAATCTTTTTTGACGAAACGCTTTTTTAACAATTCGTTAAAGAAACATCAAAGGTCTCATCTTTACTCCAAAAGTCGTTTGAAGGACATACATTTTTACGAAACTACTTTTCGCAACCACTCAGTTACATGGTATTTACTTAAACACATTTTTGCTTCTCGTCTCTATGGACGTTACGAAACTAATTGTTGTAATAAATTAATACTCAACCACTCCTTTGCATGGTATTTACGTAAAACAATTCTGTTTCTCGTCTCTATGGACAGTTTACTTACAATATTAATACAGAATCTGGTGTGTTCCACCATTCTACAATTGTTTAGTCATGAGAACCGATTCTACAAACTTATTTTGGCAAACTATCATTTTTGTGTAAAATTTTGCAAAGGTGGCGGACTGTGTCCATCCAGCTGATTTCATAATAATGTTCAGTGGTGTTCCATGACTTAACGCAGCACTGCAGGCTGCAGCACGAGTACTATGGGCCTTAAATGTCCCTGTGTCAATGCCTGACATCGTCAGCGTGGACATGACCCACCGAGAAATTGTCTCAGTCCCTACAACTTTGTGAGGTCGAACATAACTGAGAAATAAATATCTCTTATCTTTCCTAAGTGGGCATGTCTTTTGCAGGTAAGTTTTCAGAACACGCATTACACAAAGCAAGTTGTCATGAGGATAAGCCTCTAATACAACATTAACAGGAGCTTTCCCTGCTTTACTAGTTTTAGTCAACTCAGAAATTACAAAGGTTACACCCTTGGCAGTAGGATAAGCATTGTAACGATAGTTGGTCTAGCGCCCTCTATCGACCAGTCTGAAGGTCTTGCATTAATGGCCGCTAATAAAGTAACCCAGATCAACGTTACCTGAGAACATAATCGCCTAGAATCAAGCATCATCCTTAAAATAGAATAGTGCATTTACATGGTGTCAGATTGGTTACATCCTGCTACCCCACTCTACACATGAGATTCGTGATTTTGGACACGGTTTCAACAAACTTTGGGCGACTTTCTGAACTTCGATTCCATCGTTCATCTAACTCAACGGGGAACGTCCGCACGCTCACGAACACTTTGATTCTCAAGTGAACTATACGACTGGCTGATATGTACATTGTGCTGCGGAATGGTTGCATAAAATGAACGTTATGGACGGTACTTCTAATTAAATGGACACTAGATTCTCTGTTACCATTTGTGTAGATCTGAGGTTAGGCCCAAAAAAAAAGAGTCTCCAGTTTCTGGTATGGAGCTTGCAAAAAAAGTGGTGCAGCGACACGGCTTGTTTTTTTGTACCTGTTTTTTTGCTTTAAATGTCGGCTGATGACTGCAAATGGTGCCCGACTAAACTTAGTGCAAATATATGGGAGTCCAGAGAGGCCACATAAAGCTTATTCTCGATCATAACCCCATCCAAAAACACGTTAAAATTGTGCAGCAGCAGGATTCCAGTCAATCTAGTGAGTTTGGCGGTTTTGAGACATCATCTTTCATTGAAAAAAAAAACTTTTTCATTTTGCCGACGTGCATGGCTACGGCGACGCGCGCGCATACCAGAAACCGGAGACTTTTTTTTTGGCCTTAGCACTTACATTATTTTCAGAGATAATTGTCCTCAAATTTAATGGCCATGATCGTTTCTTTGAGTTTGAATTAGACTTGCTACTAGTCTTCCAGTGTTATTGTCCATATAGCGAATACTATATAGCATTTGTAGCTTAAAGTTCTGTAGTTGCTATCATGACTACTACGGTGCTAACTCCCACCCACATACCACTTCCACCTCCATTGCAGGTGACTGGTGATCTCAAAGCCAACTGGAAAAAGGTTAGGCAGCTGTGGGACAGCTATGAAATTGTTACTAACATTGTGGACAAACCTGACAAAATTCGGGTTGCCACATTCATCACTGCCATAGGCAGGGATGCCCTGGATATACACAACCTCCCATACAAAACGGAGGAGGACAACAAAAACTGGAAACAATCTTGCTCTGGGAAGAGCATTGCAAAAGCAAGACGAACATATGAGAGATACCAGTTCAACAACTGCGTTCAACAAGCTGATAAACGTTTTGACCACTATTTGGTTAGATTGAGGGAGTTAGCATCGACTTGTGATTTTGGAAGTCTTTCTGATAATTTCCTTAGAGATAGAATTGTATGTGGTATAACTGATAACACATTGCGTAAACGCTTGCTGCAAGAATCAGGCCTAAATCTGGATAAATGTGTCATGCAGTGTAAAGCAACAGAGGCAACTACACACATGCAAGCCATGAAAATGACTAAAACAGATGAGTCTGTAGAGGTTAATGCTGTAAAACAAAAGCAAAGAACCACTACAAAGAAAGAGTTCACAAACAACTGCAGATATTGTGGTAGAAAACATGAGTTAGTGAAAACTCAATGCCCTGCGTATGGAAAGACGTGTACTACCTGTGGAAAAGCGAACATTTCTCGCAAAAATGCAGGCAACAAGGTGCAAGTTCTAGTCAAAAATGGGTGCCAAAAAGAGTGCCCAAACATGGAGTAAAAGGAAAGACAAGAGTTCATGCACTAGATGAAGATACTGAAGATTGTGATTCTGATTATGATTTTGAAGTCATGACTGTAGATGTGATAGGAAAAATTGAAACTCGAGAAGACAATGTAAACAAACGGTACCCAAATAAGATCATGGCCATATTTCTAATCAATGGTCACACAATTAAGATGCAAGTTGATTGTGGTGCAACATGCAATGTGCTACCTCAGAAGTACTTACCTGTAGGCACAAAGGTAGATACATCAAAGAAGACACTGTCACTATATAACAATCAAGCAACCATTCCCGTCGTTGGCACTTCAACTGTCCTGCTAGTGAACCCTAAAAACATGCGCAAATACAATGTGGCCTTTGTGATAATTGAGGGCCAGAGCACACCTCTGATTGGATCGCATACTGCACAACGATTGGACTTGATACATGTACAGCATCACAACATCGCAGTGGTTAACGAACCACGCAGACTTCAAACTCCAGTCGCAAAAAACTCAATGAACTCAAAGAACGACATCAAGAACGCCTATCCGGATGTGTTCCAAAAAACTGTACATCTTGAACTTGACAAAACGGCAAGCCAACTGTAATGCCACCAAGGCGAGTGCCAGTCGCACTCAAAGATAAACTGAAAAATGAACTTGATCGCATGGAGGAGCGACAAATCATCACCATGGTTGTTGAACCTACTGACTGGGTATCAAGTTTGGTAGCTGTCAGCAAACCAAGCGGGAAGATGCGAGTCTGCATTGACCCCAAGCCTCTCAACAGTGCTCTCAAACGGGGGCATTATCCACTGCCAGTGATTGACGACATCTTGCCACAGATGTCAGGTGTGAAGGTCTTCGCTAAAGCAGACTGTAAGGAGGGTTTTCTTCAATGCAAACTTGATTCAAAATCCTCCTACTTAACCACCTTCCAGACACCATGGGGGCAATATCACTACAAATGAATGCCTTTTGGCATCAGTCCAGCCCTTGAAATCTTTCAACAGAAACTGGACCACAATCTTGTAGGTTGGCGTCTACAAGATCGCAGACGACATCTTGATCACTGGACGCGGTGAGACAATCGACGAGGCCAATCGCGATCA